AATGGCTGCTCGGTCATTGAGAGCCTCAGAATTGGTCTTTGGTCCCCTTGGACTCTGTAGGAAAACGGAGGGTAATTGTAAGTGGGAGCGCGGTCGCGCAAAACGAGCTAGAGTTGAGCTCGGTCATGGATTGTGCCAAACCACCTCGGTCGTAAAGGCTAGCCAAGGAGCTCGGTCGCTCAAGCGAACCAGAGATTAGCCCGGTCGAGTGGCCAAGTCCTTTTTGCTACCCCGATTTCTACTAAGGTTGGGACAAACTAAAGATTTGCTTGGTCTGAATGATTTTTGGGATCGGATGAAGATCTGGAGCCCGGTCCGCTCCAGATCTTCATTGTTCATCAGGGAAATTGAAGAACAACGAAGAAACTAAGGGGCATTGAAGGTTTTGGGCGGGGGAGGCCCTAAAACCTACGGATTTGGGGCTATAAAGAAAAAAATATGAAATGAAAATAGTAATAACAAGGGCTGGGAGACTTACCGGGCAAGGCCTACTTCTTCGAGCACAAATGCAAGGAATGGCAGGGACGAAGTTTTGCTGGGGGAGCTTGAGCTCTGAAACGTCGAAGGCTTGAAGAGAGGCAGTAGGAATGAAAGGAAGCGAGAAGGGGCATGTTTATTGAGGAAGAAAAACCGCCCAAATTTGAATTTCAGGGGACGGCGGGGTTGGCTGCTCTAGGACCAATGGGAGATTGACACGTGACCCCATTAATGGCAGTGTTAGAGTTGAAGAGACAGGAAGGTCAGACGAAGCGTCGACCAAGCAAGATAAGGAACCGAGCGAGGAAATTAGCCCGGTTTGCCTATTGCAAATTATCAACCGAGGAAAAGTTTATCCCGGTCGGAACAGGTAATCCCGGTCACGCTGGCGTGGACGGAATTAAGGGGCAATTGAGAGGGAAAAATATGGTCTGGATTGGGCTATGGTAATACCAAGCAAATTATGGGCCGAACACATTTGGGCCGTGGTATCCCAAGTCCACCCAGAAGTGATTTTTGCTCGGCAATGGCAAAGGCATGTGGAACCGAGCTACTTCACCTTGTTGGCACGGAGGCCGGTCAAGTAAGGGTTCCACGGTTTATGCGTTGCGCGGTTGGAAAGCACGCATCCATAGCTCGGCGTGAAGGCTCATGCCTGAAGCTCGGCAGGAAGGACTTTGGTTGACCGGTATGACTAATCTCAAGCTTGGCTTCGCCGGAACGCAGTCGAGCATGGCTGGAAAGGAGCTCGGTTGTTGGGGGCACCTGGGTATGAATCGCAGCATGGCCGTTGACAGCCGAGATGCTGCAGCCCGGCTGCCGAGCTCCCAGAATAGTGGGCTGGCAGTCGGGTTAGGTGATGTTCAGCAAGATTTGTGCTGACAGATGGGGTAGCAGAACCTCGTGTCGAGAGATCATTGGGAATAGATTTAGGGCGCATGTAACGCCCCGACCCTTTACACGTCATCGATATTGTCCGCTTTGGGCCACGCCCGCACGGATTTGTTCTTCCCAGTGGGTCACCCATCTTAGAACTACTCCAGCCTAAGCACGCTTAACTGGGGAGTTCTAATAGGGATTTCACCACTTAGGAAAAGGCCTCGATGTTATATAAGGGTTCAGGTTTTTACTTTTATAGCCCAGGAACTCTCCCTCCATTCCCGATGTGGGACACCGGGGCCTTACAATCCACCCCCCATAAGGCTGCACGTCCTCGTGCAGTAGCCTGCCAGCTCGCAAGCCCGCCCACATGCACCGAGAGACGCCAGGGGCCCACACTCGGTACCCCGGAGAGTCGGCTCTGATACCATTTCTAACGCCCCGACCCTTTACACGTCATCGATATTGTCCGCTTTGGGCCACGCCCGCACGGATTTGTTCTTCCCAGTGGGTCACCCATCTTAGAACTACTCCAGCCTAAGCACGCTTAACTGGGGAGTTCTAATAGGGATTTCACCACTTAGGAAAAGGCCTCGATGCTATATAAGGGTTCAGGTTTTTACTTTTATAGCCCAGGAACTCCCCCTCCATTCCCGATGTGGGACACCGGGGCCTTACAGCGCAGAAGGTATATAAGCATGTCTGTGCGCCCCCATGTTGGGCATGAACATTTGGTAAGAGAAACACTTACACTCAACTCCTCCTCACTCTCTTTATCCTCAGGTGTGTGCTAACTTGGTCGTCGGAGGGGTTTTCTGGCCACACATCGCCGGGTAGCTCACTGCTGTTGTGCACGCAGGTGATCGGACAGAAACGGAGCTTGGAAGAAAGGAATACGGGCTTGCCTGAATATTTGCTCCCCGTACAATTATACTTTTATAATATGATAGAATTAAAATTATCAAAATACACAAATAATTTAACTAAAATTAATATATATATAAGTATTAAAATAACACTTTCTATAAAATGATAGCGCTAATATTATCAAAATAAATAATTAAAATCATACTTTAATTTTAATTTTAAATTAAATTTAAATATATGAACTCTATTTGAGAAATATTTCTTTTTCATATGTTACTAAGAATTTCAATTCTTTCTAAAGGACAAAGTTGGAGTAAAAACAAAAATGATTTCATTAACTCCTAAGGAATACCTCTATGTTTATTATTTGATTAAAAAAATAAAATAGGAGTGATATAGAGTAACGATAAGTCTCAACATATTTAAAGATTTAATACCATAAGACATTTGCTCTCAGATGTGAGTATTATTTGAGAACAATATAATAGATCTAACTACTCAATGATATAAAAAGGTGAAGGTTAAACTAAAAAATAATGGTAGCTAGCTAACAAAATGTTTGACCGAAGAGCAAATGAAAGAAACTTCATCGAGAAAAATGTAATTAAAGCCGAAACAAAAATATTATAATCATCACAAACAAAAGTAATTTGACCAAATAAAATTGTTTAATTGAAAGTGGACATTTTGGGACAGGGCCTAAGCAATGACATGGACGACCCTTCAAACACCCAAACTACAAACTAGCTAAGCATTTCAAAAAATGTAAACAAAAAGTTCTTCAAGAGCCTAACCAATAGCAGGAAATTATTATATTTGATTAAAGCTTGGGCTATTTGCAGCATAACAGAATTTGGCTAATTATTACTCAAAGCTTATAATTAAGGACCAAATACTATGCAATAAAAAATTACCTTTTTCTGCTCAGCAGCTTGGAGCTTTGCCTGAAGGTGCTGTCCTAGGTCTTCTTCATGCGATGAAGATTGCGAAGGACTTCAAGTTCTCGTAGAATTTCTGCAATAAATAAAAGAAAGTTAAAAAAAAAAAGATCAGTGAAACTCAGGTAGGTAGATGTTAAAAGTTAACACAAATAACAATAGAAGAATCCTCAATAACATATATATTTTTTTTTTTGGATGGATTGCATAATGCAAAATGGATTCAAAGTTACAACGTTCGAGGAATTGAATATAATTAAAAAAAAAATTGAAACCCTTTTTACAAACAAATTATTGCACCAAAAGACGTAAATTGCAAAAAATTCAAAATGAAATTTTTTCACACTATATCATACAGTAATGCAGTAGTCTTTGTAAAAGCGTGCCCTCCTCCGAAGATGCCTTGGCTTTTGTAAATGCTAGTGGTGTGGCACATGCGATGCATGTGCAATTCAGATAAATAAGCATAAAAATAAATAATAAAGAAATTAATGTTATAATATGTATATTGTCTAAATGGTAAGAGTGTTCTTAATGAAACCCAAGGTCTTGGGTTCAAATCTTACTCATGCCTTTGAATAACATTTTTTTATTTTAGGATAGAAAAATTTGCCACGTGGCAGAAGGAGAAGCTACCACACTATTAGACACCAAGTCATGTGCTCACATATATAATAGTATAGATAGGTCTCGTTTGGAAAGTGGTTATTTTAGTAAGTTATTTTATTTTTTGGCTATTTTAATAGGCTATTTTAGTTTTGTATTTGGGAAGATGAGATGAATTTTTAGTTGAGTTGTTGTATTGGAAAGTGTGTTGAAATGATGTTTAAATTTAAAATGACCGATTTATTCCTAACTTTTTATTTTTAAAATTGATATAAAGGGGTAAAATGGTAATTTTGCCCTTGATGTAACACTGTCCGGCTGTGACAGTATGCCTACACTGTCTGGGCAGCAACCTATTTTTTTTTTTTTTTTTTTAAAATTTTTTTTTTTTGAAAATCAGAAAAAAGGTGTTACAGGATTGACTTTTGGGTTAATTTTCCAAAAGAGGCTATAATAGCCTCTGACCTGACTTCCCAAACACCGTCATAGAAGTCTGGATTTGAAATGAATTAGAGTCCAAGAATCTACTTTGGCTTTAGAAAATTATTGTCCTTGAAAGCAGAAATACTTTTGTTGGCGAAGAATCAACGTTATGGGTTAGACTTAGCCTGTGTTTGGCAAGTGGGTTTGCAGGTTTTTTTGGCTATTTTAGTCACAAAAAATAAAATATGTTATTTTAGCCATAACAAACAAAACATCACATCCAACCCATAATTATTACATTCTTCTCTCACAAAAAAACTCAAAAAATCCAAAAAACCAAAAAGCCCTTCCCAAACCAAGCTTTTAAGCCCAGGCTAAAATAGTCAAAAAAGCCAAAAAAACCAACCCACTTCCCAAACGGAGGCTTACATAATTGAATTCCCTTGTCGATGAATTGACTTGCTTTGTCGTTTTTGAAATTATTGTACTGTAAAATTATTTTCATGTACAATCTAATTTTAATTAAATTGATAATTAACATCTCCTTTAAATTCATTTATTAATTTGAACAGGTTTATATAAATTTTAACAGTAATGATAGACAGCCTGAATTTTCCAGGCTCAAATGGCTCGAATTGACCAAAACGACATCGTTTTGGACACAAAATAACACAAAATGACATCTTTTTAATTAATTCGAATCATTTGAGTCGCGAATATTATGGCGACCAAACATTTTTTAAATTTTAAATAAATATAACTGTTTTCATGGATTTAGACTGAGTTTCCCCCCACTATCTCCACTCCCAGGTTTTAACCGTTTTATCTCTCACGCTGGATCCGGATCCGTGAACGTTAGGGTTTCGTAGCAGTTTTCACCCGGCGGCTCTGGCAACGTACTTCTATTGGCTGGCTGTCTAATCTGCACACTCTCACTCTAACTCTCTCTCTCTGCCCTGCAAACTAACTCTCTCTCCCTCTCTGCTGATTGATAGAAATTGAAGAATGTCGATAACCAATCGTTTGTCGACTTCGATTTCTTCATCATCCTCGGCTTTCTTAGGTCAAGACCGCCATTTCAAAATAAGGTATTACTCTCTCTGTTTGTTTGCTGAGAAAGTTAAAAGAGAAAATAAAATAATTTTGTTTATCTTGGAATTTTACCATTCTATCACTAATCAAAACTGGTGACTAGTAGTTTGTTTTGATCCATGTATGATTAATTTCTACTGCAGACCCCAGAATGTCTTTCTTCCACCGAAAAACCCTAGGATTTGTAAATGCGTTGCAACCACGCCTACTGAGAAAACTGGTAGGGATTGCCTTTTCTTGTAATTCACTGGTCAATCACACACACACACACACAGAGGAAGTTCAGAATTTATTTTTGTGTTATTGGAAACACCACTCTCTTAGAAGTGTCCATACTTATTAGGTTAAAAGAAACAATTTACTTGAAAGTTGTTAGGAGAAAAGCTATCCTTTTTGACAGTCAACAATGCTAACAGTATTTGCTGCAATTTGTGAAGCTTACACGACTAAGGTCTCTCGCAATGCAAACATGGCCAAACTTCAAGCTGGATACCTGTTTCCAGAGGTTTGTCACATCTGCCTGCTAGTTCTGTGATTATGTAGCTTGTTACATTTGCCTTTCACACAGCTTGCTCTTGAGTATTGTGGGGGATAATTTATTCTTCATACCATATATGTATGTTATTTGCATGTTAACCCTATGGAGCTGTATAAATATGATCAGCTCAGGATGATACTGTAGTACATTTTTAAAAAGCATGATGAATTTGATAAGTAAGAAGGAAAATCTACCATCTACCTGAGATTAAAGGCTCAGACACTGTGCTTCACAAAATCAAATGTGTATTTTAAAAATTGATTTTTGGGGATCATTGTTTGAGAATTGCTGATCATTCATATCCGTTTGATTCCCCTCCCGGTACCCCGTACATGGATACATAGGCTTTGAACTTTTCTTCTTTAATAAATTGCTATAAACTACGAATCTTAAGATACCCATTTGGGATTCTTACTTTTAGAGTAAATTAACAATCAAAAGGATATGATCAAAATTTTTAAAAAAAATTGAAGGAAATTGTAAAATTGATCCTTTTTTTTTTTTTTTGAATAAATAACGCACAAAAGTCACGTATGAAAAAACCAACAAACAAAAATTACACTGTGTATATATGTAACAGATACCTGTTGCCCATGACAACATGGATATGGGCAAGTGCATGGGGGGTGCCCAACATAATAATTTGGATCCGTGCCCATACGAGTGCTAATAAAAGGAATGAAAGGACAAGTTCTTAGTTTGTTTCATAGAGTATTTTCTGATATTCATCCTTCATCACGTTGATATTTCAAGATGAATGTGGATGCCCATCTCTAAGAAGCAACTTTAACTGCAAGGTTATGTTATGTAGGTGACTGAAAAGTGATTACAGTCATAAATAATTTATTCTGTATATACTGAACTATAGGGATAAGATTGGTATGTTGCCTAGAAGCTTGCCGCTCCTGGCATATGTATTTGAGTCTGGGAATGTACAATTTAAACATATATAATGTAAAAATTGTTCCCAACTTGATCGATATAGGAGAAACATGGAAAATTTTATGAAGCATCTTTATCGTCGAGATTGGTAAGTTCATATATGTAGTTCAGTTGTTGTAGCCATTGGTTTCTGTTCATGGTCCTTATTTTTTTGGCTATTAAAATGTCAGGATATATTAATTTTTTAGAGTTTGTCACCTCTGCTTGTATAGTGTAGTAAAATACCATTGATTTTCTCTGTGGGAGATTAGATTGCGAGAAGAAGGGCTGCACACATGTTGAAGTACCCTGATGCACAAGTGATAAGCCTTGGAATTGGTGACACTACTGAACCCATTCCTGATGTTATAACTTCTGCCATGGCTAAGGTATGAAATTAGCAATTTGGCTATTTGACAAAAGCACTTTTTAGTTTCCCCAGTGTTTGTAAATGACCCAAGATTTTCAGAAATTTTATAGAGTTGTTTTTGTTTGGGGCTTACTTTGTTGAATCTATTTTTGTAACTTCTGGTTGTTAGTAATTATATTTTTTATGCATGAGATGAGAACTATTGTGGTTTCCCATTCATTTCAGCAAAATTGTCATCAATACGATTGTTGTTCTCCATCATTAATTTCAGATATTCATCCTTCGACTAGTAATTGATCCTAGCTTATTGAAAAAGTTGAAGTTTTTTAGTGTTCCAACACAGGTTTAGGTGAGCATGTTTTGGAGGCAATAAAATATTTCCACTATACAGGCTATGTGGCGAAGAAAGCTTGCACAGTGTGGTTCCCTTATCTACCCTCCCTTGCTTTAGATTGCTATTTTCAGGGTTTTGAGTGGTTGTGGCCTCGTTGCGAAAGAAAAGGAATTTCAAAGATTTATCCCCATTTTGTAGTCTATAAGCATAACTAATAAAAGATGATTGATCACTACTTTTTCCTGCCTTCACTTGGTGCCTTTTTTTTTTTTTTTTTCTCTTTCTTTTCTTTGGATTCCTTGGTGGGGTAGTAGGTGACCAATTGGTTATTTACAGGTCAAATCTAGTGGAATGTTGCTTTGTAACTGGCAATGTGAGGAAAAACTGAATAGTTTAATATTTGCAAACACACAAGGCATCGACTTTGCTTGGAAAATATTATGATCCTAGCCTCTGTGTAGGGTTATAGTTCTCTCACATTTGGATGCTGGAAGGTCCAGGCTGCCTGCTACTTAGTAGCCTCATGATTTTGAGAATGCAAGGACCATGCAAGCTTTAACTTCGTGAGTGCGTGTGAGTGCTTGCTTGCATGCAACAGGCCAAGCCATTGTTGATGGCCTCTTGTGGTAGCTTCTATTTAGCAATTTGTTTCTGGTGGTTAACAATTCTCCATGTGTGTAACACACTATGTGGACATATTTTGTATGAATGTTGGGATATTTCCAATCAAGAAGATGTTAAGAAAATCAATATCTGAAGTACTTTGTCAATTGACTATTAATGCTCCACTAGTTTCTGACATGTTTGATTTTCATTTTTTTTTTCTTTTCTTTTGGTTGACAGAGATCACATGGACTGTCGACAATAGAGGGTTACAGTGGTTATGGAGCTGAACAAGGTGAAAAAGTATGTGCCATTTTTTTTTGCTGTATCGACTATTTACATGTTTCACTTCACAAGCACTTTAGTTCTTTATAATGACATAGGGTTGCATGTGCAAGTTACGTGACATTCTGGTGCATAGTTATTGTCATTCCTCCTCTTTCATGTACTCATGGTTCTGAGTCAAGAGCTTGAAAGAAAACTAACAGGGGACATTTATGTGACACAAACTTCAGTGCATGTATAATTACAAAATTAATGCACTTAATGAATTGCACCGTTAATACCTCCAATGATCAATAGAATTGCATTTTCAGAAGTATCTCTAAAAAATATAAAATCAGTATAAGCGTGGGAGAACCTTCTTAGAAATGTCATTTATGTTTGTGCTTAAGCAAGAATTGGCATGAGGCTATACATTTAAGCACTCTTGATGTAATATGTATTAGCAATTATTTCCGTCCTAGTGGTTATAATGATGATGGTTTTGAGCCTTTACCAACCTGACATCGAATCTGTTGACTGGTTGCAATTCTGTAGCAGACTTATGTTGCACTGGTGGGCTACACTTGAATATAGTTTTTTTTTACAATATAATTGTATTAATATACAAGTTCTATAAAATTAGTGGATGGTATCTGTATGCTCATCATTGTATTGTCATTTATGTGCAGTTTTGCCTCATAGTTTTTCATTGTTGTCATCCAGCATATCTTACATTTGCATTTAAATATACATCACTATTGCCTATTAGTTTTTCATTACTGTCTCATCCAACATATTGTACATTTACATTTAAATATACAGATTACTATTACTTATTATTGCTCTTCCTTCATATTTAGAAATCTTTGTATGCTGATCCACATTGATATATTCTTCTTGCATAGAAGGTTTTATGTTATTCAATTTCTAAATCTCTGTGGTAAAAATTGAAATATTTGATGAACAATACAAAAATTTGATTTGCCAGTTATTGAGAGCTGCAATTGCTTCAACTTTTTATGCAAACCTTGGCATAGAGGAAGATGATATATTTGTTTCAGATGGTGCTAAAAGTGACATATCCCGCCTCCAGGTTTGATTTGGTTTCTCATATGTTTGTCCTGAACTTGTAATTTTGCTTTTCCTCTGGTCTTTTGTTTTTGTTTTACTCAGATCTAGTCAATGGCGGCTGTTTCTCTTCTGTGAAATTTAAAAAAAAAAAAAAAATCATGGACAGTGCCTTGGATTAATCAATGTTAACTTTGTCTTCCTTTGATTCTTCTTTGTGGCAGGTCCTTTTCGGCTCTGGTGTTACAATGGCAGTGCAGGATCCATCTTACCCAGTAGGTTTCCATGATTTATTAAACACAAATTTTCCCCCTCCAGTTGTACAACTTTTCATATCTTCTCTCTTCTACTTTTTGTTGTTTGCTTGACATGTGACCTTATAAAGTCAAGTTCGTCTCATTTTTATTAAGTTGGTCAGTTTTGTTTTATTTTTTAGCCTTCATTTCCAAATGATAGCTACATTTAAATTAGTGAGTTTACTAGTTTTTTACTTGCTTACAACTCACAGCATGGCTCTTGCTTATTTATAATTTACATAAACATTACAACATTTTTTCTACTTGGCATGCATTTGGACAAGTTATTTAAGTGGTTTCATTTGCAAAGCTTAAGTTTACCTTTAATGATGTTTTCAAAAATATAATTCTGAACTATGAAAAGGCATCTAGATCTGATAGTAGGTTCATCTTAATGGACTCGCTTTGGGTACTGAAATCTTCTTGCTTCCTGGGTTCCACAATCTCACCATCTAACATCATCTGATGTATTCTTTGGTTTGTAGATTTTTTGACACCATCTACTTGATCTGCTGCTGGGTTAAGAAAATCTAGTTGGAAAAATTGATACTCTTCATGACTCTGTATCTTTCAACTACTTATCTATACTTACTTACAGGAAATAATTTAGAAGGAAAATAGTGACTTCTTTTTAGGTTCACTTGTTAGATGGTGTCTAGCAATAGAATCCCTCTTGATCAACTACATATCTTGGATTGAAATAATAATAATAATAATAACGAGAGGGGGAAAAAAATGAAGAATTAGACAATAAAAGTAGTAATCTGCACATATTGGATTTTTTTTTGTTATCTCTAGTTTATCTCTCAATAATTGTTCAATTATTCTCACCTATTGCAGGCTTATGTAGACTCAAGTGTTATTATGGGTCAGACTGGACAGTATCAAAAGGATTTTGGGTATGGAAAAATTGAATACATGAAGTGTACTCCTGAGAATGGTTTCTTTCCTGATTTATCTACTGTCTCTCGAACCGATGTCATATTTTTTTGTTCACCAAACAATCCAACTGGTTCTGCTGCAACGAGGGATCAACTGACTCAACTAGTACAGTTTGCTAAGGAAAATGGGTCAATCATAGTCTATGATTCTGCATATGCATTGTATATGTCAGATGACAACCCAAAATCCATCTTTGAAATTCCTGGTGGTCGAGAGGTAAATGTGGAACTTATAGTTGATAGTTTTATGCATATATAATTATGTGTGTATGGGCAGGTTTCTATGTATAACAAGGTCTCTCTGTGGATAGTGTAGGTTGCAATTGAAACTTCTTCGTTTTCCAAGTATGCTGGGTTCACCGGAGTTCGTTTAGGTTGGACAGTGGTTCCCAGAGAGCTTAAATTTTCAGATGGATTTCCAGTGGCCAAGGACTTCAATCGCATTGTTTGTACTTGCTTCAACGGTGCATCTAACATTGCTCAATCTGGTGGTCTTGCATGCCTTTCACCAGAAGGCCTTGAGGTACATTCCAGGTTTCATAACCCTCATTTACTATAAAGCACAGATGCTTGTAAAAAGGAGTGGTATCTGTATCATATACTGATACTTCTTGGATAGTCCTGGATACATGTGTCTGATACTTTCTAAATATATCAAAAACTTTATGTTCATTTTGAGAAGTATTGGATACTTCTCGGACAATCTAGGTCACATCCAAACTATCATGAAATTGAAATTGTAATAGTTTTTGCATATTGTTAGCGTAAACACTTTTTAAAATTATTATTTTTTTTTCTTACCGAAGAAAAAGTAGTGAGATTAAAGTAGTACTTACCTTTTCAAATTTTATTAAATTAACATATTCACTAAAAAAAGTAAACTGACTATTGAGTCTTGAACTAATATCTATTTCTTAAATAATGATTTCTCATTATACTTAGTATAAGATAATACTGACAATCTTTAAAATAAAAATTCAATGTATTCTGGCCTGAGAAGTACAGGCACTTCTGAAAAGATGGTGTATTGGTGTCGTGTCCATGTTGGACACTTTGCTTACACATGTACGACACTCATCCAAACGTGTTCCATTTTTTTAAAAAGAAATTAGACTTGGACACTCTTTGAACACTTGGAGGACACACGTACCCGTTTCTTAAACACACGTTCATTGATTAGACACACACGAAACTAATTATAAGTTTGAACAAAATAACTTAGAATGCGATGATAAAAGAAATACAATGTGAATTTATAAAAATTAGTATTATACTACATTTATTTGTTGTCTCAGAAGTATATATTCATATATATGACATATAATAAACATATAAAATTATATATTATGTGTGCGTGTCTCTCACGTGTCGTGTCCTGTATTTTTTAAAACTTTCTGTGTCGGTGTGTCCGTGTCGTATTTGTGTTGTGTCATGTGTTTGTGTCTATACTTTTTAGATTCTGGCTATACCCATATCTTTTTTTTTAAGTTTTTGTCGTGTATTTCTGTGTCCATATCCCTATCCATATTTCGTAACTCATTTAGTTTCTATCACCAAGTATGTTTTTGTCAAATCCCATTTTCATCTTCTTGGCAACTATATTGAAGAATCCAACTTGAACTGATTTCATCAATTTCACCACTGTACAGGCTATGCAGGAGGTGATTGGTTTCTACAAAGAAAACACTGAGATTATAGTCGAAACATTCACTTCGCTTGGTTTTAATGTGTACGGAGGGAAAAATGCACCATACGTGTGGGTTCACTTTCCTGGACAAAACTCGTGGGACGTGTTCAGTGAGATTCTTGAGAAGACCCATGTTGTTACAACGCCTGGCAGTGGTTTTGGACCTGGCGGTGAAGGTTTCGTTAGGGTTAGTGCCTTCGGTCATAGGGCCAATGTGTTAGAAGCATGTAGAAGATTCAAGGAGTTGTACAAGTGAAGGAAGGTTTCACCTACCTCCATCATGTTCCATGTTTTCTGTGATTGTAGGATCTTAGCGGGTTGTTGAAAATACTTAAACGTCAGTGATTTCGTTTGAGGATCAAGTTTACAAAAGTTGAATTTTGTTCTCTGATGTGAAAATTTGTTTAGCTTCGGAGAGATAGATCTCTTTTATGTGTGGTTGATAACAAACTGCCATACTTGTCTGGAATAATTGTGAAATATTTAGACTATTATGTAGTCCATGCTCTTACTCTAATTTGACTTGATATATGCATCTACACAATCAGGGTTGGAGCCCTTTGGATCATATCTATTGATCGTTTTTCCAGGTCCGCCCTAGCAATGATATAAACCACTAAAAGTGGTGCTCTAAACTAGCACTAATGAGTTAGCATTTCTTTAAAAAAATAAAATAAAATAAAAAACAGGCACAACAGCACTGTGGCAGTGGGTGGAACTCACTATCACATCATTAGTGATAGCAATAATTAGTGCTCTCATTCATTTTTCCTGTTATATAATACGAACAAAATAAACTTCAAATACGGTTGGAAATTGTCTGAAGATTTCAAGCTATTATATGTTCAGATATTTCGATTTGTCCAAATCGACTGAACCGAATCGAATCAATTCGTCGCATTTTGGACAGATGTGTGATGACGAGTGGACGGTTATAGATTGATTTTTTTCAATCTTCCTAGTTTTAGACGGATGGTGGATTTGAGATTTCATTGGCTGTAACTAAACTGCCAAACTGCAAGCATTTCTAATAATTTGTAAGACTTTGTATTTTCAATTTGTTTAGATATTCTGTTTGTATTTTCAATTGAAAAAAAGTTAAGATATTTTGTTGTGTTTTCAATTTGGAAATTCTTTTATCAAATAGCAAGAGTTGATATTTGGTATTTTTGTGTGGAAAATATAAGGTTTAATTTTATCATTTTTTAAAAAAATCAAATTAAATAGTTTTTGAATAAAAAAAAATAATGGAATAGTTTTGATAATTTATGGTTTTCTTATATGTATTTATTATTGGTATTTGATAATTTACTTGATAATCTTTTGGTTATGTTGAGTTGAATTGTTATTAAAAAAAAATGTTGACAAGTTATATTTTGTTCAAAATTTGTAAAAATTTAAACCGTCAAATCAACTCGCATTCATCTATCAATCCACTTAATCCGCATCTATCAATTCAGCGAACAGATGCGAATTGATTTTTTCTAATCCATCCGTCCGAAGGACGGATGATAGATTAGAAATTTTCTGATCACAACCGAACCGCGAACACTCCTAGTCCAAATAATGAAATTCAATACTTCAGTGTCGTGTTGATTATTTTTGATTAAAAAATACTTTGTTGGGGACACATGTTTCAAAACAAGTAAGAGTGGTTACAGATAATGGCTAAAAGTGATTGTCAGCGAGTGGGAGTTGACAGTGAAAGGTGTAGTTGACGACGGGGTCACTAGCTGCAGAGTGGTTAGAGGGGATTGCCTGTGGAGAAGGACAGTGGCCAGAAGGCGTGGCCAGGTGTAGTGATGGGTGGTGCCAAAGGGATAGAAAAAGGAAGGAAAGAAAATTTATTTTCAATATGAGTGAAATTTAATTCGAAGAAATTAATAAATTTAATAATTTGTTTATAATTTTTTGTGAGTGAAAATAGATCGCAAACAAACTTTCATTTATAATTTTGAAAATTTATTATAAATATAAATATAAATAAACTCAAAATCGTAAACATAAACAATACAGAACGGAAAAATCATATTTTTAATTTTGAAAATTTATTATAAATATAAATATAAATAAACTCAAAATCGTAAACATAAACAATACAGAACGGAAAAATCATATTTTTTTTGTATTTTTTATTTATTTATTTATTTTCCAAGTCACCAAGAAGGCAACAGTGAAATTTCACTGAAGGTAGGACGAGCTGTTGTGAAATCTCCCATCATAAAGCCTCATGACCTTTTTCTCCATCTTGTTTAAACATTACTCTTAACACTTCAAAATCCTACTGTTTCTAGATTCAAATTACATATTCATTATAAATAATTTAACATCCTATGTCACAGCACCCTCAACAACTAGTAACCCTACAACAGATCAAACACTACAGTAGGCTCTACTCAACATCATATGAATTCATGTAATCTTACAAACACAAAAAACTAAAAATCTACTTAACATTGTTCTATACTCTTCATTATCTGTGCTTTGCAAGTAGTCTTATAGTGTCCTGTTTGGTTGCACCGGCTACAATGCACTGTATGCTTCTCCCGATTGAAGTCCTCTACACAAATTCGCTTCTTTTCCGGCCGTCCTGGCGGTCGCCGGAACTTTGGAGGCCGCACAACTCGCACGTCCTCATCCATAGTAACCTCACCTTCCTTCTTCCATTCAATTTTACCAGGGGTTGGGTGTATATCTTCCGAGTACGTCTCGCAATAACTAGCTACAGTAAAACACCTCTCGATAAACGCATACACATCTTTTCTAGCTGAGATAAGTGCTGCAACGGCATGAGAGCATGGTATTCCATACAGCTGCCAATCGCGGCAAGAACAACAGTGGGTCCCAATATTCACAATTTCTGATCGCTCTGCTGATAGAACCTCAAATTCTACCTCATCTGATCGAAGGACTTGATACGTGGACGCACGATTGATCGCCTCCGCTATACGCTTCTCAGCACTAGGGGTGAGCATGGATAACCATGAGTTACTCTTTGCACGCCGATCTGCAAACTCAGCAGCCAATTTACCATGAATCCGCTCAATCACCTGAATTATGGGAAGCTCCAGTGTTTCCAGAATCCATCGATTGAAGTCCTCGATATTTGAGGAGAGGTGACCATACCGTGTTCCCTCAAAATACACCAGTGCCCAGCGGGAAGGTGGAAACTGTTGAAGCCACTTTGCAGCTTCGGAAGAAACCTCCTCGATTTCTGCCAATCTCTCTTTGAAACCAATGGTAGTGGTTGAATATGCAGCTTTCCACAGAAGATGGACAAGTCTCGAATTCTTGAACTCTTTGCCAATGCTTTCACTCAAGTGCTTCATGCAAAATGCATGAGAAGAACCGGGAAATTTCCTTTTCACAGCATCTACTATGCCCTTTTGTCCATCTGACAAAAATGTAAGGTCCAGGATCTTCTCTGTGTTCGCCTCTAGAGCCTTGTGTAACTCCGACAAAAACCACATCCAGTTCTCATCATTTTCAACATCAACTACGCCAAAAGCAAGGGGAAACAACCCGCCATCAGCATCGAAAGAAGTAGCTGAAAGTAAGGTCCCAAGATATTTGTTCTTGAGTTGGATTCCACCAAGGCCAACAATGGGCAAACAACCATTTAAAAACCCATATATAGAAGCATAAAAGGAAACAAAAAGGCGTTGAAACCGATTATCTGCACTTGCAGTGAAAACCTCAGCAGCACTTCCTGGATTGTTTTTCTTTATTTGCTCACAGTATGAAGGGAGGAGGCAATAGCCTTCTTCAGAAGAGCCGTAAATTGCCGCAAGCCCTCGTTCCTTGGCACGCCAAGCTTGCTTATATGGTATCATAATCCCGTACTGTTTGTGGATGTCGTGCAAAATATCTTTTGGTTTGTAGTTTACGTTGTCTCGGAGTCTTTCCTCTATGAAGTTCACTATCCAATCAACAGAAGCCTGGTGATGCCCATTTTGGGCATTTTTCCCACAAGTATGTGTCGGTTCAATGCTTCTGATTGTGAAGGTTGGAGCATTAGAAAGCTTAACAGCACGGATGCGCCATGGACAACCTTCTGTGGCACACTTTGCAAAGTAACGAATGAGGTCGCTTTTTACAATACGAAGCTCAAAGTGTTGTGCGATTGCTGCTTCTTTAATTGCCTTGCGAAAGGCCTTGACATCAGGGAACTCTTGACCAACAATGAAATTGTGATCCTCCATAAGCTAACACATCGATTCAAAGCTCCACTTTTCAAAATCAGTTCAGATTTTGATGCACAGGACGGTGGGAGAGCAAAGATGCTTTAAAGGCAAACTTGCTTAACAATGGATATAGTGAAACATTCTAGACGAACACAGTGAGCGATCAGCTGGAAGGAAACTGAAACAAGAACAAAGGAAACAGATTTACATTCAGGCACGACAAAAATCACTCTCATCCAAACAAAAACCTTACACTATCTCACTAATCAGCGGGAAAACAATAAGCTTGAAACTCTAAGTAATAACACAAGCAATATACATATTGACAAACCACATGTTTTTCATGTTTCTTTATAATGTGATTAGCAAGTCATGCCCGTGAAAATCTCATCTCACGAAACAGACATGATTGTCCAGAAGGGTCCAAAAGCACCATCCCCAGGAGGGTTTAGAAAAATATCTCCATTTGACAATTAAATTCTATCACCAAATAGTCCACCATCCATAAAATGATTACCCGTTTCATCCTAGTCTAAGTTTCGTGTCAATCTAATCGTTCTCATTCAAGAAAAACATAATTATCATATATTCTTTAGATTGGCACTTGGCAGTACAAATTTCACAGATAAGCAAAAGATAAATTTGCATTTTCTACACAACCCATCCCACCCCACAGTAGTAAGTAAAAATTAAGAACTAATTTATTCACTTCTTTCCACATAAAGATTAAAAATAAATAAAGCATTTAAAAAATTCTCAAAACACAAACATACATGTACATGCATAACATGTATGTATAATCAATAGTATTATGTGCATAGAAAAGTAGAAAGAAAAATCAATATGTGGTCTAGATTATTGTGATTTTCTTTTTTATGCTACCATGTTAAAACTAACAATCAACGGTCTGAATTGAAACCAGAAGACCCATAAAAAAAAAAAAAAAAAAAAAAAAAAAAAAAAAAAACCACTTCACCAAGTGAAATCAAGTTTTAATATTAAAAATAAAAAATAAAAAATAAAAAAACATAAAAGAAAAGGAAAGAAAATAATTTTCAATTAATAGCTAAAAAAACTATCATTGACTTATCAGAAATTAATTAGATATTGCTAATGGAAAGCGAATTAGAAATGAAGGATCACAGATGAACAAATCATCATAAAAGATCTAATGAAAAATAGAAGAAGCAGTATGATCTGAAGTATATTGACTTAGAATCACACACAAGAAAAAATTTAAAAAAAAAAAAAAAAAAACATATATCTATACACACACTTGTATAGTGAGAGAAGTCGATCTGGATCGTGAACTGACCTGGAATGAAACCATGAGAACGTGCCGCTGCGATTGTAGAGAGAGGAGTTTACAGAGAGAGATTGGTGAGGGGAGAGAGAGAGAGAGGTAGGGAGGGGGTTGATTGGGGATTCTGACGAAAGATTAGGGTTGATTGGGTCAGAATGGGGGCTGGGATTGTCATTTTGCTGTGAATGTTGGGGTGTTTCTGTCATTTTGAAAAATTATCTCTTTCTCTACCTTCAGTCAACGACCCTGATCCCGGGGTAAACGTAGAGCGTAGCACGCGTATATCATTTCAATTGTACGGACACACAAATTATTCGTACCTTCAATTAATTTCTTATTTCATTTTCATATTAATTTTTAATTATCCCTCAATTATAATTGTCTTGCTAAATAGAAAAAAAAAAAAAAAAAACTTTCCTATAGATCTTAATAGATAGATTTATTATCTAATAGATTTTATAATACTTAATGATATTTTTATCAAATACTATTAAAAAAAGTCGCTATTTGTTAATTTACAGCGATAGTTTAAAAATTGTCACAAAAAATAGTACTAATTATAAGTTTTAACGACATTTTAAAAAAATCTTCATAAAAAAAGTCATTAACTTTCAACTTTTAGAGACAGTTTGAAAATTTTGTAATAGAAAAACGTTACTAGTTATAAGTTTTAGCGATAATTTATAAAAATCATAATAGAAAAGTCACTAATTATTAATTTTTAACGACATATACAAAAAAATAGTTTAAAAATTTATTTTTAATAACGATTTTAATAAGACTTATTTTCAATAAGATTTGATGGAAATTAAGTTCAATTTTTAAAATTTATTGATAGTTTATCCAAAAAAAAAAAATCTTCGTCGCTCTTTTGAATTACCATAGATCAACTAAAATGATACTATATATTTGCATCAATTTTGAGAATTTTTTTGGGCAAACTCCTTACTAACAGCATGAGAATGAAAAGAGATCTTTTAGATAATTCTTGTTGCCCCTTTTGTAATGAAACTGAAGATCTCAATCATTTGTTTAGAGTTTGCTTCAAAGCTAAGGAAGTTTGGACTGCTATCCGCAACCAACACTGGTATCTGCAGATGATTAATGAGAACTGGACGCATTGGCTACTATATAACTCCAAAACAAATGACAAATTTGGGACCAAGTCTTCGTGGAGCATTGTTTTCTTGGTCACCTTATGGAAAATTTGGAAAAATAGGAACCTGGAAGTGTTTGAAAACAAACTGCCTAATCAATTTGCTAGCGTGAAATTTATATTTGATTATTCCACTGAAATTGATTATGTTTTCAGTACTTTTATTATTAATCCTAGACCTCCATTTAGACTAATTAATTGGCATTGCCCTTCTATAGGTACCCTGAAACTGAACACGAATAGAAGCAAATGGAGCAAGGGACCAAATGGCTTTGGTTGTCTCATTCACGATGAGACGGAAGGTTGGATTTGTGGATATTATGGGAGGATGGACAGCTGCACCAATCTTGAAGCTGAATTATGGGCAGTGTATAAAGGACTAACAATTATTCTCCAAAAAGGCTTTCAACAAAGTGATTATAGAAATGGATGTTCAGGAAGTAGTCAAGCTGCTTTTTGAAGACCCTGGAGACAAACATCCTTATAAAGGTCTGGTGGAAGATGCAAGGATCATATTCAATGGCTGCTAATGCACTGCTCAACATGTCTATCGTGAAAGAAATTTATGTGTCAGCCAAGTTGGGAGCTGTACAACCTGAAGATATATTAGTTGTTAAGGACCCCCTAACTGAGATCAGAGAGCTGTTAATGGCTGTTATGTTGGGGATGGTGTAGACGTGCTCCTGGGAACTCCCCGACATCCGCGCATGCGCCTGCGAGGGCGAACGCGAATGTCGTCTTGTTCTCTGAGCTACTACAGTTCGGACTCAAATGTCACAATTCTGAATCTAATCTCACAATATGCGATGTGAGATCGATAAATCACCAAAGAGTCCAAATTCGGCAAATAGTTTTGGAAAACTGATTTTTATAAAGAAGTGTCAAACATGGACTGCTTTGCCAGATACAGAGTCGCCACCTAAATATTTTATTTTTTTAGAGAATTTAAAAAACCCTAACTCGTGCCTAAGACCACGTGTCCGTCATCACCAAAATTGTCTCGACTTGGAAACTTGGGTACGAGAGGGGAAGGTCATGCAATGAGCACCTCCGCTCGCCCGATCAAAGATCGGCCTGTACTAAGCATGATATTTTGTTTTTGAAAACACATGTGCTCTTATTCTGATTAATTAGCTAATCTTACTATGTGATGCGCACGACAAACAAGTATAGACTAGATCGCCTAATTTGAAACAAAACATTGCATGTTCATTTTGTTGAAAACGATTTGAAGTTTGCTACTCGCAAGTAGGCTAAATCGAGGATTTGATGAATTGTTCAAATTCAAGTAATCCAACCTTCACCCACAGACATTTAGGCGGTTATAGCAAATAAACAATTAGCCCCATGGCAAGCATGCTTTCATGGTAGCATTAACGCATATACAGTATACTAAAATGTAAACATTCACAGTGTACTCCGAGCCAAAATAGAGAACTAGTTAGAAATCATGCATGATTCTAGTTCATGTTAAGATGGCTAATGCAACACATGCAAAAATGAAACTAAAATAGGCTCGGCTATTCTAGAATGACATGTGAAATGCAACTTGGTACATGTATTCAAATTAGAATTGAAATACAATGCAGTTAGTATGATGTGCGAAGCCCGGTGCATGCAATATAGATGAATGGATGCACGCATGCAAGCATAAGGTATGCTAAATGAAATATATCCTAAAACTAACCATCGTAAGCGGTTAAGTAAAAAGGAGAAAGAAATAGGGGTTGGAAGACATGCATCACACACACGCACGCTTATTACAACATTAAGCCCTCTCGAGGGAGGGACCGAATAAAGAGCTAACTAGCTAGTCTAAACTAATTAAACTAATTATTACAAAACAAACTAATTGACTAATCCTAGTTAACTAATTATTACAAAACAAATTTAAATAGCTAAACGCATTAACTATTAAATTACAAAACAAAGTAAAAGCTAGCTATCTAAGCATGGCAGCTAAGGAAAACAGTAAATCAAGAGCCTCAGAAGAAGAGGAATGCATGCAAGCCCAGTCACCTCGTTCGGAAATCCAATGCGATGTCCCGATTTGCCTCTGTTTTCATTTGTCCTCAAAACCTTGCACCAAGCTCCAGAAAGCTGAAACTCCACCTTGGCTGTGGGAGGGTGGCCGAGCACTTTTGGTCTCTCCAGCCACCAGTCGACCACTTTCCTTGCAGAAAGCTAGAAAAAGTGGTCGGCCAGTTAGTTTTTCTGGCTGGCAGACCAGTTATTGTTGCTGAACTGCAATTTGCTGCAACAGAGAGCAAGAAAGGGCATGGCAATGTATTTGCAAGATATGTGTGCAGAACCACCCTCCCTATCATGTCATGAACTCAAGGGAGTGTGGTTCTCGACCCTCGGGCCACCAATGACGCATTTCAATGCATGATGGCCGAGAGGCGAAGTTGCACAATTCAATATAAAATGAATGCACAAGTAAACACATAAAGCCTAAAACTCTATCATGTATGATCAAGAGCGTCGGCGACTGAGAATTGAGGCACGTTTCATCACTTTAAGTATGAAACGTCCCTCTTTTTCCGTGTTTAGACTAACACTTATTCCAAACACAATGCAACACATAACATGGCATGCACAATGCTCTGTAACATGGAGTATGCAAAAATGCAATGCAACACAAGTATGCAAACATGCAATACAATGAAACAAGCATGCAAACAACATGCAAGGGACAAGCATGCAAACAACATGCAAAGCAACATGATCAAACTACCAATGCTAAGGGCATACATACTCAATGTAAGGCAACATAAGCATGCACAATGCAAACAACATGGCATACACAATGCAAACAACATGGCATACACAATGCAATTACATGGCATGCTCGATGCAAAGAATAACATGGCATACTCGATGTAATGTGACATGATCAACTTAACAAAGCTAATGACATGCAAATAATGCTAATGCATGCATACACAATGTAATGCAACAAGGGCAACTTATCAATGTTAGGGACATGCATACTCAATGCAAGGTAAAATAAGCATGCAAACAACATGTAAATAAACATGTTAAATGGACTTAAACCAAAAAGGGGTAGACCTTAGTCATGCCCAAATCAGTGGCCATAACACCAAAACGAAGAAACAAAAAATAAAGCATGCATGCACAATGCATTGGCCAACCAAGTAGGCCTAAGAGCACAACTCTCAAAAGTGCTTAAGGAGTGATAAATGCGGAAGTGTAACAACACTAAATGTACTGAAATAAGGTAAGAAATGATGCCAAATCATTCAAACTAACACAAGTATAGCATGCGAAAGTCCTAAAGCATGAAAGCTAATAAGAGGACTACCAAAGAGGCATGCAATACATGGAAAATATGCATGAACTAACCATGGACAGAGCTTAATTAGGTCTAAACAAAGACCAAAACATGCTAAGATGGAGGCCCAAATGCCTAGGCAAGATGGCATACATGCTAGGTCATAAGTAAGGCAACAATGCACAACACTTAAAGGCATTCAAAGCATGAAAGAAGTGGGAACATGGCAATGCTATAAGCTCTGAAATGAAGTATTAAATGATGCCAAATCATCTAAATAGCTCAAAGATAGCATGCATGAATCAACAAAACACAAAGCTAGCAAGGTCAATTGCACTACAGCTATACAAAGCATGAAGGATATGGCAAAGGCAACCCAAAACAGTCCTAGAACATATCAAAATGATACTAAAACATGCATGGAAGGAAGCTAAAACAAGCTAGCATGAGGGGCATAAGGCATGGTGCATACAAGGTAAATAAGGTGGATTACACTACACCTATTAAGACCAAGCATGGGATGACTTAAGCAAAAAAAAATCAGAGTTATATCATGGCAAAATAACCCCAAATAAGCACTGAAATGATGGCTCGCAAGCTAAGGCATGAAGGCATACACAATAGTTCATGTTAAGGTATAAAGGGGCCAACCCTCCAACGCATTGAATAGGTGAAAGATGCAAGTGCATGAGCATGAAACATGGACTGA